TACACAAATGACGAGGCGGCTGCAACATTACGGACTCTGAACGTACATACCAGTAGGTATTTACCGGATAATGGGAGAGTGACCGCCAAACTAACACTGGGGAGAGGACTTTGGAACGCGTCCAGGGAATACTTGAACAGCGTCCCAAACTCGCCGTCTTAAATGCGCACTTGAGCAGTGCCTGGGACCCTAAGCAAACATCCGAGGAACCGGTACAGGAAATAGGAAATGTTATTAAATCTAAGGGACGAGGCTTACAAACCTACTCAGATTTACTCCATATGTATGCGAGGGTTGAGCAAAAGCGGTAGAACATGCTCAGTGATACCTATCCAAATACCTCGGGCATATCACACTATTTATAAAACGGCCAGCACGATTCCGTGTCTGGCTAATTGCTGATTAAATTCCTCCAGCATGACGCAACAGCCTTTTTCAGAACACACAGCCAACGGACGACCCTGCAAATGATTCCAGCTAATAGGCCGTCTACCCGGAGCCCCAACGACGCGGCTCTGGGCGGTACATTTTCCATCTGGTACGCCCACCCGCCCCAGACTTCGAGCCAGCCCAGAGACCCGGCAGTAACTGTGATATTAGCTCTCCGCCGTCCAAGGGCCGTCGGCGCCGGGCCAGGCGATCCGGTGGGTTGTAATTACACCAGCTGAGCAGCTGTATTGGGATCGGCCGATCGACTCCGGATCGTCCGTGAGCCCAGAGACCTACCTCCCCGGCCCTGAACCCCTCCCCGTCAGTCTGGTCTGGTCCGGTCCGCGCCAGGACGGGCCGGCCGCCGAGACGCGGCTCGATGTTCGATGTTCATTGCCCGGTGCGTTTGGTTAGGCTTGGAAGCGCCATCAGACCCCCTCCCCCCTCCCCGATGTCGGGAGAGGGAAAGGGGACGGACGGACATCGAGGAGGATCCCATCTGGATCACTCTCTCCCCAACAGCCAGCCGGTCACGTCAGATCAATCCGGATCGAAAAAGGATAGATCAGCCAGCCGCATTGGGGAGGGGAATAGATAAACAAGAGAGTCGATATATCAATACAAATCGGCATGGGTGGCACAGGAAACGGAGATGAAGGAAACCGAAGGAAGTACTCAACTCGAGATTCAATCAAAACACTAAAACGCCACAGATTGACGTTATACACTAACTTACCAATCACAGACTTGGCAAAGGATCTGTTCTTGAGCGTGGCCAGCCCGAGGTCTCCGACCTTGACCTGACCCGTGGTGCCCGAGATAAAGATGTTGTCACACTTGAGGTCACGGTGAATGATGGGAGGGTTGCGTGAGTGCAGAAACTGCAGTCCGCGCAGAATTTGACGGCACCACTGCTTGATGATTTTCAGGGACACCCTCTTCTGGCCGAAGTTCTTCAGATATCTGTCCGCAAAATGTTTCCAGAAGTTAGCTGTCGGATCATTAGAAACTGAAATTTTGCGTGGGATTATATTTGCAAGGGGGGAATCGAACTCACCGCTTTTCCAGAAAAATATTTCATTCTACAAAGAAGTCTATAAATAAATTATCACATTGAAAATTGGAGCTGAACATAATCAGTACGCAATGACCTCACTTCAAAACACTGCCCTTCTCCTACCCAGATCACTTCTTGTCAACGCATGGTTAAGTTGCACGTTCGTGACTCACGTTCTGAGGGTTCCAGAGGTCATCAGCTCGGTAACGAGTACGATACAGCTGCGTTTCGGCTTGTCCACTTCCCAGAAGTCGTAGAACCGGACGATGTTGGGGTGTGTGAGGCCCTTCATCAGGCCGGCCTCCTCTCGGAACCGGTCCCGTTCCTTCTTACTCAGCCGGTTACCGCTCAGCTGGTCATAGAATAAATATACAGGGCAGGATTAATGGCATCCAGAGATAAACACAGGGCAGAGAATGGAGAATGAATCTGAATGAAGTGGTTACACAAGAATGATAAGCAGTCACCCTGCTTTGCTTTTCATACTTTGAAAGTAATGAGTGTTTGTCGCTAGGGGAACAATGTGATGGCAAAGGCAATTGTAACTTGGCATGAAAGTAATTGGTCAATTACTCATGACCTGAATATCAAGGCATTAACTAGGTACACAAGCAGCATTTAACGTGAGGCCTTCCGACACGAAACCGGAACTCAAAGCACTCGTCGGGGTACTCACCTGGAGTTCACACCAGGCGACAAACACTCCTGTGGTCGTGTCCAGGCCCTTGTACACCGCCTTGAAGCTGCCGCGACCGATCTCCTCGCTGAACTTAAGGAACACGCCGCTGGGAGAGACCTCCACGGCCTTCTCTACCTCGTCCTCCTCCCCGTCCTCTGCCGTCTCCTCCTGACCCTTGGCGTCCTGCCCGGCGCCCCCCGGTCCCCCGGACCCGCCGGCCGCGCGCCGACGCTCTAAATCGCGGTAGTTCTCGATGGCGTGTCTCAGAGACTCGTTCTCGCGTTCGAGTCGCCGCATGCTCTCTGCTTGACGCTCCTGTTCTTGTTCTTCCGCTAACGGACTATCGTCGCGCTCCTGACGCTCCTCGCTGTCGGATGGACCCAGCATCTGCACGCGCGGCGCGAAGCACACCTTGCCGCCGTCGCGCGGCCGGTCGCGGTGCCGTACGGCGGAGGGTCGCGGTCGTCCCGCGCCGGAGCCCGTGCCGCACGCTGCGTCCGTGCTGGCGGAGCGGCGCTTCAGCGGAGTCGGGGCCGGCCGCGGCTCGGGCTGCGGCGTGGCGGCCTTTTTGCCGAAAGGTGCCTTGGAGGTCGAGCCAGCGGACGGCGGCCGATCTGGGCGCGTCGCCGCCGAGCCGGCCCCCGAAGCACGCTCCGGCTTAGATATGGCAGATGTAGCTGCAGAGGCGGTGGATTGGTTTGGTTTGGAATGCACGCCACCTGATGATTGAGAGGTGCGGTCTTGGCGGGAACTAGGCCCAGCATGCTGACTGACGCTGCCGGAGCTGGTGGATTCTGATGGACCGGCACCAGAGGCAGAGTCCGGCACTTCAGGTGGCTCTTCTCGTAGAGACAGCCGCTGTGCAGTCTTGTGTAGGAACTTGGCGCCTGACTGGCGGATTTTACTCATGGTGCCACCGTTCGCAGTGGTGGGGCGCTGCACCCCACTGCCTGACTCCTTCTTCAGCATGTTTGGCATTACTGACCTTGCTGGCTGTGCCATTCCCAGAACATGGTGTCCAGCTGCATGACCAGCCTGATGGTGATTGATACTGATGTGATCCAACCTGAGAAAATATCATCAAATGGAATGTTTGCATACTTGGTACCTACCAACATAAAATGTCACCCTACATAGATGAACATTTCAGCATTTCTTAGATATTTTGCATATTCGTAAGAAGCAGCTTAGGAATTTCATTGATTTAGGCACATAAGTAGGTGCCTACTTTAATTTCAACTCAAGCTTGCTCACAAAAAGCTGCAAACAGATTCCGCCAGCAACAGCCAACTTGACGCGGCAACTATCATGCCTATTTTTGTCACTAGAACTTCTCAAAAGTCAAAAGCAAAATAATGGGAAAGTCTTTGATGAACTTCCTTCTAACAAATGATAAGCAATAAAAATGAAGATTTTTTCCAATCATTAGCATTACATGAGAGCTTCATCAGCACTTCGCTGCCGCAGCTTCATATCTAACACACATGATCTCCTTTTTTGCAATCTTTTCCACACCTCTTATTTCTTTGTCTTACCTTCCTGAAAGAAGGCTGAAGAAATAATGAAAGGATATTGACCCCGACCCGGGTCACGCGCCTCCGGCGCGAAGTTTACGACACGTTTACGACTGACGAAAATGCGTGCTCAAGGTTTCGATAAAAGCGAGGTTTACAAGTCACCAGCGATAGGCGAAATATTATGACGTCATCAAACTCTTCAGGCCCAAAAGCGGGGCAAAGCCGACCTTTTTCTGGGGCCTTCTAACCCAGCAGCGTCCGTAATGGGTGCTTTGGTTACGATTTTCTCACGATGTCGAGCCCCGAGGCCCGAGGACCAGCCCAGTCTCATTCTCATCGGTGATCGGCAGCCCTCCGGCCGCCCGCAGGTCATCGCACTCAAAGCATCTTTCCTGGACCCCTGGCCCTGCCCGAGACCCATTTGCGTCACATGTCCACTCCCAACGCATTTTCAATCATGAAATCGATAAACATAAGCGCACGCTGCCTACCTGCTTTGAATGATTATCCTGGAGCCACCAGCCACTGTTGAGTTTGCAGGACGTGGTGGTGCCGGTTTGTGGCCCTCATGCCATCCACCACCGACGTTTGAGCGCGCTGCTTTGTCTGTATACATTGACTCGGCGAGCCATCGAACAGCACTGACCAGTCGCGGCCCCTAATGTGCCGAGTTCCCCCGACCCCGGGCTCTGACCAACGGCCACGAGAGGACGCCTCGAACCGGTTCTTACGCAACGAACCGGTTCGTTGTTTTGTAGTTATCACGTGGGGGTCGCATGTGAGATAACTCAGCCACGAGGGTAAAGACAGACATGTGAGAAGCCGGACTCAGGTCTAACACGAAATCGATATCGCCTTTGACGCAGCCGAATTGTGAATAAGTCATGAGAAGCCTGAAGCTATGACGCGACATGGCACACGTGGCAAGTCTTGCACCAAGCTCGGTAATCGTACATCGACACATGTCCTTGACAAGGTCCAAATCAAGCGTTGCACATGGCTTCGAGTGCATATTGCCATTTGACACGCACTTTTGGAGGGCGATTTCGATAACATGCTCGTGTCTAAGCGCTGGGATAACAAAGAGCGTCGTAAGATCCTTCATACAGAGGATTATCGCTCTGCCCCTCATATCAAGCCACGGCGACTCCTTGTTGCTGAGACAGCACGTCTCTGGAATGCACCGCGAAGTCAAGTCTGGGTACAGAGTTCACAGGACAAGCGATAAGCGATCCAGTCATGAGCAACTTACAACTCTCGACATTCATAACTGATGCCACCTTGCGTGAAACACAGCGAGCGCGAGCGCAAACACGCATAAAGACAAGTATTTTATTGGACAAATCGGATGGGTTCCTTACATGACAAAATCCACAAACGATATAATAGAAGCCATAGCTTGAAATTTGGCGGCAACAGAACGCTGAGACGGGCGGCCAGCGCGCCCCCGTCGGCGGCGAGGCAGCGTGGGGCAGGCGGCGGCGGCGGCCCGGCACCGGCGCGGCCCGGGCGCGCCTGCGAATACACAACCAAACAGAAGCGAGCGGCGGACGCCGCGACTCGGCGGCATGCCCTCTCCCTGTGGGTGACTACAAATAACACGTGACACAGCCTGGCTGGCGCACCACGCTCTCAGTCCAGGGGAAGGGCGGGGCGGGGCGGGGCTTTGGCAGGCTGACGCGCGCCACAGACGTCTCGAGAACAGCGCGCACGCGTGGCCAACTGACGCTCACCACTACTTACTGTTACTCGTATAAGAAACACGAACAATGACGCACGCGGCTGGCGGCACGGCGGCGGCGGTGGCGTCCGCGGGTGTCCGGGCGGCCCGGCAGCGGCCGGCCGCCCCCGCCCGTGCCCGGCGCCGCCCGAAGGGACATGCGGGGGCGGCGCGGGCGGCGGGGCGGCGGCGGCCGGCCGCTGCCGGGTCTCTCGGCCCGGCGGTCGGCTCGCGGCGGCCCCTGGCGCCGGCCGGCCCAGTTGGCTGACGGCAGCACGACCCTGAGCCCTGGAGGATGTTGTGCGGCCGCGCTGCAGTCCGCCCGGTGGGCCGGCCGGCGGCGCCGCGGCGGCGGACCCAGACCCGCGCCGCCATCGACTCGGACCCGCCCCCGCTCCGACACGAGACACCTGTAAAACGCCACATTATAAATAACTGACTTTTCACAGCAAATCACATGATGATTATTTTGCCGTTAAACACAATAGTCTACATGTAGTCTGGCGCGGGCGCTCGCGCGCACGGGGCGAGCAGTGCTGCGCGCAGGCATCGGCGGTGCGCAGCCCGCGGCGGCGACGGGCGCTCCAGCTGGCGCATCGCGCCGCTGCCCTTCTTCCAGGTAAGCCGAAATAAAACGATATACTGACGCTCAACTGAAGAAGCGCGCTCTCTCGTTCTGCGCGCGCCACGCGGAGCGCCCTCAGTGGCGACTAGAGGCCAGGCGACCGGGCGCCGGGCGCGCGTCACGTCGGCGGGAGCGCGCGGGAGGCGGCGACGGCGACTCCTCACAGTCGCTAACTCGCTCTCTCGCTCTCTCTCGCTCGCACCAGACACCGTCTCTTGTATGGCAGTAGGCAGGCAGACGCGCTCGTTCGCTCGTCCGACCACTCGCCCATCTCTTTCTCTCGCTGTGTGTGTCAGTGGGGCCGGCTGCGCGCGCGCGCGCTCTCACTGTGGGGGCGCGCGCGCTGCCGCCCTCTGGCGGTAGGTGTGCGCTCACTCCGTGGTCCCGTCATTCATAGCATCCTAGCTGGGTGTGCGACCGGTGTGCGCGGTCCGGGCGGCCCCGGGCCCGGCCCGGAAGCGGCGTAGTCTGGTGGCGGCCGGCGCGGCGCGGCCGGCTAGTTCCAGATTTTGAGGAAGCTGTCCCAGGAGCCGGTGCAGACGGCCATGCCGTCCTCGGTGACGCCCAGACAGCTGACCCGATTGTCGTGACCGGCCAGCACGCCTGGAACACGCCGCAGCGACACACGGTCAGAGAGAGTCGGACGTCAGATCTACAGCAGCGGCGGGAGCGACAGTGATACAGCCGGCCGGCAGGCATCACAGGAAATGGGTGTGTGCGTTGGAAACCGGAGACGCATGATGACAGGCTATCTTTCTGAGTAATGGGGCGGCAGCAGTATCTGGTGGTTGGGAACATTCAATGGTAGCTATGATTAGTGTCAGTTTACCAAACAGCTGCGTTTGCCCATATATGGAATTCAATATCAAATGATAAAAACGGCTGTTAAATAGTCGATAGAAAACGTAAAAGCCATAAGCTGTGCCACTAACGAATAACTTATATTTCGGGCAATGCTCTTCGCAAACGTAAATACGCATGAATTCAACATGTTTCTGTATCCATTACACGTATATAAGCAAATTCATAACGAGCGCGACCAATCACTTTAACCCTCACATTCAGCGGCCTATTTCCACAGACAGGGTGACTCTCTGGCCTGCCCATCTGAATCCACCCCAACTCCGCCCTCTCTCCCTCCCTCTTCTTCTCTCTCCCCTCCAACCGCACGTACCGGCCCGCTCTGTGCGCATGGCGTCCCAGACGTTGCAGTTGAAGTCGTCGTATCCGGCCAGCAGCAGGCGGCCAGACTTGCTGAACGCCACACTGGTGATGCCGCAGATAATGTTGTCGTGCGAGTACATGGCCAGCTCCTGATCGGCGCGGATGTCGAACAGGCGACACGTGGCGTCGTCCGAGCCCGTGGCGAACGCGTAGCCGTTCGGGAAAAACTGAGGCGAGTGGAGGGGGGGGGGAAGGGTCAGTGGTGGAAACATACGCTTATGATGTAATGCAGCATGTTAACTGTAAAGTGAATGCTATGACTTTGACCAATTAGAAGATAGGCACACCGCACAGGGTCAAAGATTGTGCGTTAAATATCTATATCATACATGCACACATTGCAATATGCTGTTCATAGAAATACGCAATAAAATGTTTATGAATGGAACATCAAATTCAAGGAAAAACATATCATGACCATTAAATACATTGATATTTAGAATATAGACCACAACGAATAACATTTCAAGTTTGACTGGAGGGAATCCATTGAGCACGTCGAAAAGCGGTCATGCTTTCAGGCGTAGGCTCTGGGCAGAGAAGATATGGTTGCTCAGCCAGCGGGGAGAAGCGACCGAGGCTGTCAGGGGCGGCTGGCGGGACGGGGCTGGCAGGGCGCGGATCAAGGCTGGGCACATAGAGGGCGGCCCTGGACGGGTCAGTCCACACTGAGCTAATTTAGCCGGCCGGCAGGCCGCGGATGACCACCGCGCGAAGAGTGGCTGAAATACGTGTGTACGAGCGTCTCAGGAATAGCGTCGAGCTCAAGCCAGCGATAGCGCCCAACGTTGCAGCCCCTACCCGGCTCCCGAATCTGGAAACATCATGCATCCCATCCTGTGAGTCACCAGCTCCTGTCTCTCAAGAAATCAGACGCATATACCGCCCGCCCCTACCCTTCCCCTGCCCAGCGCTGGAGATGGCAGAAGGATGCCGTCCGGTGATTTTTAGTCACGCCGGACGCGAGCCGTTGTCATACCAGACTGGGTGCGGTTGAGGCATTGGTTCACTTCCTGTGTGCGCCGCGCTCGACCGGGTCGGTAAGCAGAGCGGATAGGTCGGGTTCACCAGCGCACAGCCAGGCGCTATGCAGCAACAAAGTCCAAAAGCGGTAACAGCTCGGCCACGTCTAAACGGATAATAAATACTCCCCGAGTTATCGGTAAAGGTACTGAATTACATGACACCGAATTAAAAGAGGGTTCAATGATTTAGTCGAACTACAGCATTCACATGAGTGTATGCAATCAAAGATGAAAGCGCTGCTACCGCATATCACGGGCAATGGCAAGTGCGCAGTTCGAGCTGCAAAGATCCAGACCACGTCCTTCTCTTCCTAAACGACCCCCTCCCGGCGCGAAGCCAAGATCTCTCCGCGCGCCCAGACCCGCACATCGACTGGCAGCTGGCAGGGAACAGCTCGGCAGGCAGACCCGGCGGCAGCGGCGGCCGGCGCTCGGCCCGGCCCACTTACTGTGACCGCGTTTAGGTCCGACTCGTGGCCGGGAAATGTGTTCCTACAGGTGCCGTCCCTAAGGTCCCAGAGCTGTCGGCAGGCGCACCCGTCAGACGGCGCCCACAGTCCCACACACGGGGTGAGGCAGGGGCGGTAAGGATCGCAGCCAAGGACAGGGCGCGGACAGGACGGCTGGGACAGGAGCAGGACGGTCAGGAGCGGATGGTAAGGAGTCAACAGGATGTCACGGTGACAGACGGGCGACTTACGCCTATCGCGTTGATGTCCGATTCGTGGCCAGAGAACGTTTGGCGGCAGGTGCCCTCGCGGATATCCCACAGCTAGAATGGGAGGTCGGCGGGTCATCATGACACAGGCACAGACCAGCAGCTGATTGCATTACCGGGCATCTTTGGCGGACATGGCCGCATGTTATAACACAGTTACATGTTCAGAAAACACACACGCATTATCATATACGGGTGGATTCATGAGCTGATTTTAGGTTTATCGGACAACCGCATGAGAGAATGAAACTGTAACAAGAGTTCCATTGTACAGTGGACACAGTATCAAAATGGGAAGACGGAGCTGCAAAAAGTGAACCACTTCAAGGTCAAACTGAGACCGAGGCACCTGGTAAACTTTGCATAAAATGTCTTTTACAAACACAAGTATCCCTCAACAGAGCTAAAGCTAGATGTTTTGAAACAAGACCCTAATGAAACATGTTGAACCCATGGTATTTCTACTGTAATCTGTCGAACTCGGGTAATACTATCCCCTTCCAATCTACCACAGCCTACCAACAGTAGTCCCGCCCTGGCCGTCATAATACCCCACTCCAGACCGCCCCCGGCCTGTACCAGTCGAGTCGTTACCTTGGCGGAGGCGTCGCAGGCGCCGGAGACGAATGTGCGCATATCAGGCGCCAGCGAGAGGGACATGACATCTCCGGTGTGGCCGGTGAACGCCGTGCACTGCTGGCCCGTCTCAATGTCCCATAGTGCGCTGTGAGGGGAGAGAGACGGGGTCAGTGGTGACGCTCATGGGCGGCACGGGCGGTGTGGGAGGACGAGACGTGGTTGTTGATAAAGATATACCATCCCGCACGCAAATAACGCACGTAATCCTAAAAGGAGCGAACGCCAACTGTCCCAACCATACACAAAATATTTTCCATACAACATATTAACATTTTCCATCTAAAAACCTGCATCACTGCCGCTTTGCCTTGCGCCAGCACAACTCTATCACAGAACAAGTCATTCTCTTCCTGCCTCTATCTGGCACACCTTTTAAGTTTTAGCAGTAAACATTGATCAGGTTAGGCCCGGCCCGCCTCCAGTCGGCCCGCCACTGACCAGGTCATGTCACCCGAGCTGGTGACGATCTGGTTGTCGTCGACGAACCGACAGCAGCTCAGGTAGCCCGTGTGGCCGGGCAGTTCTCTGCTGACGCGCACACTGCCCTCCCGGGTCTTCAGGCTGAGGAGATAGGTCAGAGGAGACAGGTCAGAGCGGGACACGAGTAATTCAACAACACACTGTCCCCTCCTCGGTATTCGTTAGCTGGAATGTCAGGTGATATAAGCTAGCTCTGGGTGGGGGGGGGGGGGATATATAAGCCGTGAATGATACAGGTAGCTTATTTCATCAACTGGAGTCCTTCGTCCTTAGAAACCTCGACACCAGACACTATGCCGACCAGAACACAGTCCCTACAGTTATACAGAACGATGGCGGTTTCAGAGACCAAAGAACAGTACGATAAATACAGTACCGTGCATCGCCTATGCTAATGAAGGTGACCAGCTAAAGCAAACAAACTATACTGTTAATAATCACCCCTCCCCCATTTACGCAGACCATTCCGTGACAAAACGCCCCTCGCCGTGCCCATTAGCCAAGATTAATTCATTAATACTCATTTACCCACCTGTATATCGAGCAGATATTGTCGAGACCGCCGCAGGCCACAAAGTTGCCCGAGGGCGCGTAGGCGCAGGTCATGACCCATGAGGAGCGCAGAGGGATGGCGTGCACCTTGTTGGTCGAGTAGCTGTCCCATACGATCAGCTTGCCGTCCTGAGACGCCGACACCAGGTTCCTGAGAAAGAGACAGAGAGATAGGGGTTAGTGACTGAAGATGAAACACCGTACTGCGACCGCACTGTGCTTGATTACACCTCTCGCATGGATTACACCGCAACCATGTAGCTCGTCTATACACCGCAACCATGTAGCTCGTCTATATCGATGGCTCATTTTGGCAGAAAACCTAACTAGCTAAGTCGCAGAACAGCACGTGCGTTGTTTGGATATTTTTACGTCACGTGGCGGACAGAACACGATCCTGGTTGTCAGAACGCTGTCAAGTTCGACGGTGTTTCGGAGAAGGCCGGCGTTATGTATGGTCTGAGACCAGGGGTGTAACTTTTGCTTTTGAGATGGGGGTGCACTTGATGATAGGGGCGACCTTCAATGAGGGCGCTTCCAAGGAGCATAGATGGTGCATCATATCTCTCAACAGGCGCGCACACAGGATTTTTGAACGGGAGGGGGGGTGCACGACCTGCAAGCTGGGGCCCTCCATGCCGAAGGGCCCCAGGCCCCAGCCGAAAAAGTTCCCCAACGCGATTATATTTCGGTTGACTTGAAACTTAGCTTCTGTCGATACATGATAAAACAATTACTTCAGTACCCGTTCAATTTTCAAAGCATTTAATGTTCCATTTTTGTTTACGCAGCATGTTTCATTCAAATACGGTTCAGGAGTAAGTAGGTATCACCATCTTATAATCATGTAAAATATTCGATTAATAAGCGTGGATGCAAGGCCCTCAGAAATCAGCGCGGGTAGCGCCTGACTGCCGGCCGGCCGACCAACCCCGGCTAGCTAGAATCGGAGGCTAGTCACGGGTTGGTCCGGATGTGTATGAGTGGGACGTATTTATTTAGGCATATCGACATGAAAAGTCATTACAAAGATTCGTAGCGAGATCACAGACCAGATATTTGACTTTTTTCTCACTTTTATACCACATACTACAGACACAATTTTCAGGCGGCATGCCCACTTTCCTAGTACCAGTCGTAACCGATATTCAGGAAGCCCGTACCAGGGCACGTACGGCGGCCCCGATCACCCACCTCTCGCTGTTCCGGCGGCGTGCGAGGGACCCACGGCGACCGCGCACCTCACCGACAAAGCATGCACTGTCACAACGAAGAAGCCCTCAAAGGGCCCGAAGATCCAAGAGCCCTTTGAGGCCTTCTGAGGGACGTTTGACGTCAGCTGAGGGCACTTTGGACCTAGCTGATGGCCCTTTGAGGCCTTCTGAGCGCCATTTGACGCCAGCTGAGGGCCATTTGATGTCAGCTGAGGACCCTTTGAGGCCTGCTGAGGGCCCTTCGACGCCATCTGAGGGTCCTTTGAGGCCTTGTAAGGACCCTTTGACGCCAGCCGAGGGCCCTTTGAGGCCCTCTGAGGGCCGTTTGACACCAGCTGAGGACCGTTCGACGTCATCTGAGAGCCCTCTGACACCAGCTGGGAGCCTTCTGACGCCATCTAAGGGCCCTTTGAGGCCTTCGGAGGGCCGTTTGACTCCATCTCATGGTCTTTTGACGCCCTTCAAGGCCTTCAAGGGCCCTCGCCAGCTGAGGGCCCTTTGGGGTCTTCGGAGGGTCATTTGACGCTAGCTTAGGGCCCTCTGACGCCAGTTGAGGGCCCTCTGACACCAGCTGGGGGCCCCTGACGCCAGCTAAGGGCCCTTCGACGCCTTCGGAGGCGTTTGACGCCGGTGCAGGGCCCAATTGCGCCTTTTCAGGCTTTCCCAATTTCGTCATTTCAGCTCATTTTAGACAGTCTTCGGCGGTTTTAGGATTCTAGGGGCCCGTTTGAGAACCATTTGAGATGGCCCCCTTTCGAATGGGGGGGGGGGGCATGGGCCCGTGTGCCCCCCCCCCCTTGTGTGCGCCTTTGTCTCTCAATTTCGGTAAAATGCTTTGTTGGAATATTTCGAAATTCAGACTTAAGAGTGATCACCATTTTGTGTTCCTCCGATTTAGTTTGAACAGTCTGATGTTGCTTATATGATTGCAGTTCATTTATATTAACCCAAGGCCCTCTTCTGCCGGGCGAGCCCAACTTCTGCTTAAGTCGCTCGACCTTTTCTACTGAGGGCGCCCTTCTTGTGCTTTGCGAGCCCAACTGCCGCTTGAGGTGTCCCATTTTTATTGGATGCGCCCCCTTCTGCGGGCGGTGCCCCCGTTCTGTTGGAGGCGCCCATCTTCTGGTGGCGGCGCCCCTCTCCTGGTGGAACCGCCCCTCTTCTGCGGGTGCGCACTCTTCTGCTAGAGCGCCCCTCTTCTGCTCGGCCAGCTCAAATTCTGCTGAAGGTGCTCGGCTATGTCTGTTGGGGGCATTGCTCTTTTGCTGGGGATGCCCCACTTCCGTCGGGGCCGCTGAGGACGCCCCACCTCTGCTGGGGGCGCTCCCTTTTGCATTGGGGCGCCTCTCTCCTTTAGGCATCCCTCTCCTGGTAGGGCGCCCCTTTCTGGTGTGGCGCCCCTTTCTGCTGGGGTGGCCCTATGCTGGGGGTACTCCTCTACTGCTGGGGGCGCCCCACTACTGCTGGACGAGCCCAACTTTTGCTTGACGTGCCCCATTTATAATGGAGTGCCTCTCTTCTTCTGGAAGCATCCCTCTTCTGGTGGGAAACCCCCTTTCTGCTGGGGAGCCATTCTTGTGCTGAGGGCGCTCCTTTTCTGCTGGAGGCATCTCTCTTCTGGTGGGGCGCCCCCTTTCTGCTGGGGTGCCCTTCTTCTGCTGGGGCACCCTTCTTATGGTGAGGCGCCCCTTTCTGCTGGGGTCGCCCGTGTTCTACTGAGGGCGCTCTTCTACTGGGCGAACCCAAGTTCTGCTTGAGGTGCCTCATTCCTACTGGGGGCGCCTTTCCTCAACTGGGGCGCCAGTCTTATGCTTGACGATCCCAACCTACGTTGGAGTGGAGGTGCCCCACTTCTGCCTCGGGCGCTCCACTTTTGCTGAGAAAGTCCCGTTCTTGCCGGGGTGTGCCCCTTCACCCATTTTTGGGGAACGATACGACTGGACGCTTCCCAAGCCCGCAAGCAGCACGACGCCGGTCACGAGACGGAATGTAGCCGGGAAATCACCCTTGCCATTTGCTCAAGAATTTATCGGTGTCGGGCGGCAAGGGGGGCGCCGCTTAGCCTATGGGGGTGCACTTTGACGTGATGGGGGTGCACTTTCAGGGGATGGGGGTGCACCTGCACCCCCATACATATAGAAAGTTACACCGCTGTCTGAGACTGAATACGAAGAAACCGGCCTCTGATTCATCCACAATAGCTCGCATCACAATGAGAAACCAGAGTCATAGCCAGCCAGGGAATTCGATAACACTGTGATACGAATATCTAAAACAAGAGACCCTGACAGCAGAGGTAGGCGACACATGTTTGGACAACTGACATGGAACATATAAAATAAGTTTTAAAGATAGAGGGGCGGAGAGCAAAACAGAAACAGATAGGTCTTCTGAACACTGGGTGCTGTCGAACATGATCTGTGCACCCATGTTCGATTTCAATACAAATCAACCATCAATGAGTGGATCATGAATAATCCTGATGGCCTACTAGTGCTACTACGACACAGACCGCTCGTGTAAGCCAAAGCAAGAGCCCGTGGGTCCCCATGATCCCTCTCCCCGATCTCGTAGCATCCAACAAAGGCTGCAGCCCGCCGCCGCCGGCCCATATGCTAACCCATCAGCTCCTGGAACGACCACCACACAGACCAAGACGTCGGCAGAAAAGACAATGATGACACCCAACAAAAGAACGCGGGCCGCACTTCCGCGTGCCGTCAGCGTCGGCGGCCGGTTGTGGCCACGCCCCTCTGGCCGGTCCCTCCACCCTACTCTGCCTGTCTCGGTCCGCCGAGCGAGGTCCGTCCCTGTCGGTATCTCTGCGGCGTGCTGCTCGCTCGGTTCGCCGGGCGTTCGGCCAGGATCCGGCCGCTACATTGCAGGAGCAGCGGGAGGGAGGGAGGGCCGCCGGCGGCGACGGCGGCGGCTCCCCAGGGCGGCGCACCGCCGAGGGCTATAAATAGCCTGTCGGTCGGTCGGCCGGTCGGCCGGTCGGTCGGTCGGTCGGCCCGTCGGTCGGATGGCGGCGGCGCCGACCGGTCGATAGCACCGCTCGCCGCCGGCCGGCCGCCGTATGTACTACGGCCCACCGGCGCGACGGAGATACTACGGCACGGCCGCAGACGGACGGCGCGGCCAGGTGCCGGCGGTGAGACGCCGGCATGACAGCCGCGGTCAGGCGAGTCATGAGATTGGATACACGAGCAGTGCGGGCCACAGTCATTAAAGGTCCCAGACAGGTGGAACCTGGCTTTGATTTGCGCCCAGATTTGCCCCAAGCAACACAGTCAAGCAGCCTCCAACATCACGCGGACCAAAAATGGCATGTCGCTATCCTAGAAATCGCCTGTCAGCTGCCACGGTTCGTCACTGTATACCTGACTAGCCCAGTGACAAAACGCGTCACTACTCACATTTGCCGCAAGGGTGAAGACACATCGCGACAGTCTCAAAATGCGGCGCAAAACTCAATCTGGCTGGCATGGCGCACCCATGGTTTGCCCGGCCGTGACCGAAGGACCTATAGCACCGCCGCGCGAGCACCCACCAAGCTTTCGCAGGGAGTGATCACAGGTGAGCCATAGGTGAGACGGGTGCCAACAGCGCACGGTAGACAGACATCACCTCGGTTTGATTCATAGATTCAACGGGCGTGCAAGCTTGTTGAAAGGAGGAGGCGACACGCTTTAACCGTAGATTCAACGTTCAACTGGCTGTGATTAAATGAAATAAAAAATTAAAAAATGTTGCAAAATATCACCTCGTGTTTCACTAAACTTACCTGGAAACGGACTGTGTTTTTTCGAATCTGGGAAAGTTGAATCTCTCGGTTTAGCCAAGTCACAGATGAGCGTTCCGCGGAGCACTAATGCCTAAGCTCCGGGTGCCCTGACTGGTCGGCGACCGCCGACGACCGCCGTCAGCGCACGACGGCCACATATATCGGCGATGGTCGATGACAGTCCTGCGGGTATTTTTACCCGATCCCGACACCGGCCATCGTCGTTAATTGGTGCGTTTCGGGTCGGCTTAGGACCAGCTACCGGCGTTTCCCGATATATCCCGACCAGCGCCGTTTTAGCCCACTTCTCCGTCCTGCCGGGTCCTCTCTAGTGCGTTCCGGGTCGGATTAGGTCCGGCTAGCGGCGTGCCTCGTCTCCCAAAATATCCCGCTCTGTGCCGTTGTAGCAAACTTGTCCGTCCGGCCCGGTTCTCTCATTTTCCTCCCCTCCCTCTCCATCGAGTTCCGATCGAGCACGTCTCATCAGGCCGAGCCGAGTCACTCCGGGCCAGACCGGGCCGGGTCAGGGCGGGCCGGCAGAACCCCGGTACAGCTCGGGGTGCCCCCGCGCCGCCGGAGGCCGGTGAATATTTCAGAGGGCGCGCGGCGGGCCACCCCGGCCCGGCCCGCCCCTGTCGCCCATCGATCGACCGGGCCGGACCGGGCTGATCGCCCGCCGGCAGAGCTGGCGCCGCGTATCGGCCGTTGCGCCCCGGCGAGCCGGAGCAGATAGCGGCTCGCTCAATCACCGCCGTCCGCCGCGCTATCGGCGAGCGACCGCTGCCGACGCGCACCGTCCGCGCCCCGCCGTATGTCGCGCGCTCACCCGCCGGCTGATCTGCGCTGTACCGTCCGCGCCCCTCCGTATGTCGCGCGCTCACCCGCCGGCTGATCTGCGCTGTCCACCAGCCGTCGGCTGCAAACGACCATGATCCCTGCCTGCTCGACACGCGCCCGACTTGGTTTGACAGTAATCAAACAATGCAAAAATCTCGACGACGATGAGTTGGGGTTCTGGGCACACGCACAGTTCATCCGCGTATTAGTTCCTCGTCCGCATGTCAACCAATGCTTTCTACATTTCTCGGATCTCCTCCGCCATTCCTCCTTCGACTTATCACTCGTTTCCAAGTCACCTCCGTTCCGAATCCTTTCGCCAGAGAGCACTGGTGGACGCCCCTTCAAACCACTGTCAGGACCGCCCGTTACTGCTGTACGACACGACAGAGAGCAGCGGAGCCCACCGGCAGCGCCGGAGGTGACGACATCGACGACCACGGAGACCCGTCAGAAGTGACGTCTCCCGCCCGCCCGGTGGCTCCGACCGTCCGATGATGCAACTCTTTCTGCGCGGTGCCCAGTCGGCTCGCCCGTCCTCTTCGATTTGTCCACCGTGTTCGGTCACCGTCGCCAAAGCCTATGGCCGACGAGTCCGCCACCGATCGCTCAGACAGCGGCCATGTCCATCACCGCACCGTCTCCCCTCCCCGGCTGTTTGTTCGTTCCCGTTTCAGCCAGACCACCGCCGCCGTCATCAGTGACGCCTTCCGTCTGTGTTGATGACGCAGGGCACGAACACAGTCCATCGCCACGTCCGGTGGCGCGCCGGTGCTGGGAATCGGGACCCCACACCGGCGCCGCGGCAGGGGCTCCGGCCGGATGGGTGGGCACTGTGCGTACACAGACGGGTTACACGAACCCGTTCCGTGCGTCACAGCCGCCCCAAAATGCACCCGTGACGTGAGACCCCCGGGCCGCGTGACGGTGGAGACGACCGGTGCAGGTAAACGACGCCCACAGACGGCACCGACGAGTACGTCAGCGGCGAGCGAAAACAGGGGTAAAGCCGGGCAAGAATGCAGGTAGGTGGAGGAGCTGATGCGGTGAATAAGACTATTTAGGGGACGCAACAGCGATGAACGAGTCATGACTAGTAGACGATGGCCACTCCTAACTAAAGGTGGTGCGGGCTCCGTTGAAAGTAATATCATGCCGCAAGGCGTGTTTATTAGGAGTATTATTGTTAAACGAGCCGCACAAACACCCACACCCTCGTGATAGCGAAAATCGGACGCTCTCTAACAGACAGACAGACTGATGACGTCTTGTCAAACGGGGAAGCACGGACCGTTGGCTCTCAAAATAAACGGGCAGTTGCCAGCAGGATGCATACAGCGCGGCGAACAGATCAAGGCCCATCGGCGAGAGGAAGGTCACCCGGTGTCATTTTTTGTCAGCCGAGACGAGGACTTCGGGATGCGATAAGCCTGCGTGTTTTTAGACACTGTGATAGCACCGATAACGTTCATAAATCGTATCTATCCCGTAAAAATTAATAACTGAATGGTTAAACTGAAGGTCGAACAGCTCGCCAGAAATACCTAAAAAACGACACTTTCACTTACACAATACACCTACCAAGTACCACACACACACACCATACTCCCGAATATAGCACATACACCACCTTATCATCGGGGGAAACATCAGTGATCATACCACTCCACATAATCATCGTCAGCCTTCCACCCGCGTGAAACATCCACCTCGAGTCGCAGCCCCAGTTCATGGCGTAGATTCTGCTACGTACCTCGAGTCGCAGCCCCAGTGCATGGCGTAGATTTTGGCGAGGTGGCCGCGCAGGGTCCGCCGGTTGCGCATCTGTATCCGCCCGATGGGCTCCATGCTGGAGGTGGCCTGCACCAGCGTGGTGTCGCATGCTGCCTTTCGCGCATCCTGTGAAGACACACGAAAGGTGTTACTTGTTAGTTGTGGGTGAGGGCGAGGTCCCTGGTACCTGCAAATACAGCAACTACAGGCCCGAGTAATGTAAGTTTTTGGTTCTCTAGTAATCAGATATCTAGCTCTCAGCCGGTGACCCGTGAAGGACAAGTGTGCTACAGGTGAGCTCATTGGTACAACGAAACGCGAGCGAGGGTAAAGGAAAAGTGGAGAACTGTAACACGATGCATGAAGATAGGACAGCCCAGTTATAATCCCATAATCCCAGTTGTAAACAAAAGCAAAACGACGGTAAAAAAAAAAAATGGTTATGCGATGGAACAGCGAGCTTTACGTCGCGCAAAGTGAAATGACACTGTAACCCGCAACTGACTCCGCAGTTCACCCCTGGTGTTAATGAACCCACAGAGAGCAGGGCAGAGGCCACCGAGTGAAGCACCGTGCAGTGACTAGCACGGCGACTGGCTGGGGCCGGGGTATGGCCAGGGTTAGGGGTCAAAAGGGGTCAGCTGATGGTCGGCAGAGGTCCCGGGAACAAAACCATGCAGCAAGGAACAGACCACGTCAGCGCACCGGTGTCAAAGGTGCGAATGTGTGCAACGCTTTCGCGCCGACGAAACACCGGAAACATACAAAGCTGCCATAAGCAATGGTTAGGTATCTATCGTCCACACACAGGATATATGCACTTTGTGAACATGCATTTACAATACTTATTTCATTTGTTTGTCAACACTGCTACGACGACGACGACCAAGCCCATCACGGGCTGATGAATGATACGCGGAAACTTTGACACACTGCACAGCAAGACGATAAATTTCAAGCACTCGTCAAGCTAGGCATCTACTGAATCTACATGGAAACAACAAGGTTTATAGGTACGCTTGAGCCGTTACTTCTTCTTATGTCCATGTGCATACTTCTGAGGACGAGCAGATACACTAAAGACCACAGCTGTTCGTAGAAAGTCTTAGAAGGAGCGTTGAAAACATCTTTGTAAGATCCGATAGGGAGACGCCATGCGAGTAACCCAATACTTCCCTTGATGTTATCAAACGTCAACTAAATTTGTATCATATTTCAGTCATGCTCGCTCTGACTCGCCTCAGTCGGGGACTAGAAAGAAAAAAATGATTATCAAACTGTCGGAACTATTTCAATAACTGCGTAACCAATCAAAACCCGCATGCCTGGCACTATCGTAGCCCCCTAACATCTGAAGTGAGTGCATGCAACATCCGATAGTAACGCACGACCTTGGTCCAAGCGGCACATGATGCGACGAAGTTGAGCTCACACTATCGTGACACGCCAATGTATCGTACTTACTCGAATAGCATTTTTAAGTGTCTCCGCCTCTTGTCGCAACGTGTCCAGCTCATTCATACTTGCTAAAAATTAAGTATAAAAAATCTGCAACGAAAGAGAGAAACAGGTCAGTCATATGGCACATTAATATCAAACCCTAAGTTTACATCAGCTTAACATCACTAACCACTAACAATACAGACACAGAAACACACGCCCACATCCAGCCAACCACGCACTGACGTACAAACAACACATTCCTCCATCTACCAACACCTAGCCCGTGACGTTTCATCGGCAATCCCAGCGGCGCTGCAGCTGCGCCAGTCAGTGACGGAGCACACAGCTGCCGAGGCGCCGCTGGCAGCCGGCCGCTCGCCGCTCCCAGCACCGCCGAGAGGTCACCAAGGTCACGGTAATACCGCTCAGCGGCCGGCACGGCACGGATGCGACGCGCCGTGGCGATGACCTGGCGGCGCTCATCGGGTGGTGGTCCAGCATACAGGCGCGCGGCGACAGAGCAGCAGTACGGTCATCTGACCCGCCGGCACTGGACCCAACAGGCCGTCTCTGCACTGATGTAAACACAGGCCGGGCGTCGTCCCAGGCGGGCGGGTGGCTGCGAGCGGGTTCGGTCAGCTATGCGACGGGATGTCACCGCTCGAGTGTGCAATGTTCGCAGTCAAATATTCAGCCGCTCACGCCGCAGGCGAACAGCTAGTGTCATTTGCACGTCGCGTAGCAGCCGGAGCACGATGTGTGTGGTTTGTCGGAGATTTTGCACCACTGAGCTGCTGGCATTCAGTCTGCTGGCAGCGCAGATGGTTCACGGAAGTTTCGGAACAGATAGTGCCCACGGACAGTGAGTCAGTGACGCAGTCACAGATAGTGGACTCAGAAACCGGGGCGGACGGCGCCGAGGACCGACCCACGCCACTGTGGACCGCACAGTGGGGCGAGTGGTGAGCGGTACAGACCAACACTAAGTGACACTGGCCGACACTGAACGGAAAGCCAGACCAACAGACAGAGCACTCAATGGCATGGAGATGAGAGATGATGAAAGGGCGTGGAAGGTTTATATGACGTAAGACACTCACCGCAAAACGATGGACCAGAGCAAATAGAGCGATCGGGTTGACACTACGCAAAGTAGAGAGCACCTTAAGCCCTAATAGGAGCACCAAAAACAACACTGATAGCACCAAAACGCAACACAACACTGAAGAAACGACAGTGTTCTGAAGGCTGTGTCACGTGCAGTTATCAAAGTTTTACAACTGCACACTATCTGATTGATAGCCCACTTGCATACGATAACCTCACTACAACACTTCAGACAATGGTAACTCCCATACTCTCGAAAACGCTCTTTCACACGGGCTACATGCATTCCGCAGTACACTGCGCATCATCTTGAACGCATTGCACAACACTAATCACAACTCTTCCAGCACCTCTATCCCCACAACTCTTCCAACAGTCCATGGGCGGCGCCACCGGGGGGGACGGGGGGGACAGGTCCCCCGCTATCGAAAGTTAGGGGGGTACAGTACCCCCCTATCGGCGAGGCCCGTTCAATAGTTGATAATAATGCATTATAGAGCTACCCGTCGCATTTAATGCATGGTTGGTTAATCAAGGCAGGTTCTGAATAAAGATTGCTGTTGGAATGCATCGCAGGGGGTCCTGGCCATCTGCAAAAGGTGTGGAGCTGTGATGCCTGTAGTTATAAGGTGATCGGCAGGGCCTCGGGGATCGTGCCCCCTTTTTGGGGCGCCAGGCAGGTTTATTACTTATTACCTCCCCACCCCACTGCCAGACCCCATTGCCGATAAAACCAAGTTCACTGAAATTCCATAGATTTCCGTTACTATATGAAAATTTTCCATTCCTAATTAGTCAAATTCAAGCATGGCAGTTCTACCACAGGAACCATTTGAAATCTATGCCATTGAACCCCAGCACTTGTGGGGAGAAGTGTTCGGATAGATCACAGGCAGGACCAAAAAAGCACGCAGTAGCCCAAGACCTTATAATTGGATCGGCTCCCTCTCGTCAAGGGGTTCGATAGCACTCGTTTTTTTTTCTGCAAAACTAAGTTCGGTCGGCGGCCGAACGGCTGGGGGTCTAATCGAGCCCCCCATCCCTCCCCTTCTTACGTCAGCGGCTGTGAAAATGCCATTACCAGCTGTTGAAACATGGCAGTTGCTTTTGCATGAGTGCACGAAAGGGTTTTAGGTCCGTGATACGTGAAAGGTTCTACATGAAAATTGAGATACACCAGCTTATCAAATTGTGCTCACTGTGGTGCGCTCGGTTTTACCTTGACTAGTCTTTGAATTCTGGGGTGAAACAGACCAGTCAAGAAACCTGTTCCATAAGGAGAGCCACTAATGCTAAAGAGATATGGGATGAGGTTTCCAGAGACCTTCATTACCTCCCAAAGGGGGTGCCGGCCGCCATTTGCCAATCCCTGCTGTAGTTGTTACGATTGGAGGGTGAATATGAGAACGATGCAGGTCGTGCCAGCTCGATCATGACGAACACAATGGTGCCGACATCACAGCTCTACTGCCATTTTTGACGAAGTTAATCAACAAGGACCGGAATCCTACCCTGGGACATTTCACCTGCAGAGGTCGCCGGACCTGAGACCCTTTCACTCAATTTTTTCAACGGTGCATGCGCTCGTTTTTCCCGCGAAGCTCTTGGCAAGTAAAATTCATCAGAAAGTGTGATCAAATAACGGCTGGTGAGCTTCCATGACCTAGCATGGCCTTTTGAGTGACCACCGATGACATGACCACTGACGGCTAGCCATTAGCTGCACCCTGCCCGATGCATATGGATTGCAGGTAGTGATGTCATGATTCTGAAATTATATTGCAGTTTTGGCGCACTTGTCAGAGCAGAAGACATTCCCACTTTCCCTCCATGACTATATGATGGTGAAGCCCTGAAGCTGACCAGACGTAAGATCGAAAATTTGAAAGTCCGAAACGTAAGAATAGCTGGCACTGCTACTCATACCTAAGCAATTCGCAGCTTGTAGGAAACCAGCTTTGAGTTGGCAAGACTGCAAATTTTGATTTAGAGGCAAGGATGCTTGAAAAGGTGATCGATCTTAGGTGTCCTAGGATAAGTTTGGAAACGGGATGCACCATTCGATGTGTTTTGGGCCTTGCCAAGTTTCGCGGCGTTACGAACCTCGTTTTTTTTTTGCATACACGATCAGTATCTACTTTTGGGATTTTCGATTTTCGGTCCCCGTCCCCCCCTATCGAAAACCCGTGGCGCCGCCCCTGCAACAGTCTCTTTTCCTGTCGGCCCTGTCGCTCACTTCACAGCACGCTCACTGTGTCCACTCTAACCTCCACTCTTACCCCGCTCTCACCACCGTTCTCACCTCTCCTCTCACCTTACACAGGAGCCTTCGCAATTCACAGATCAGTCGTTACTCGTTCACCGCTCCAGCTCACCGACCACCTCACTAACGCTCCACATTCACTCCCCACATCACTACCTCTATCCCGTCTTCAGACACCGTTTCATCCTCTCGCAGCTCCGAACCGTCCTCTCGCCTTTCCTACACCAGCACAAATCACCTCTCTTCTTCGAGCGTCTCCGTGAGATTCCTGCCAGCTCTGAGGGCCGTCGGGCGTCAGGCCCGGCCCGGCGGGTCCGGGCAGTCCCACTCGGTACCCGGCGCGGCCACGGGACGACACCATCCAGCCGCCCGTCCGGCTCGACGCCGCATCCGGCCTGGTGCGGCCGCCGCGGGGTGACCTCAGAGACCCTGTCGCCGCCGCCGTGGGGCGGGCAGGGGGCAGAGCACGGCCGGATGCCCCGTGGCACCGCTGGGCCCGCGAGTCCGTGATCAGGTGGGTAGATGCGTTCGACGAAGTGGGTAAACGCGTGGAGACGCGATTCAAGATCGACAGGAAACGTTTTGATGGGACATGAGACAGTAATGGAAGCAAAATTGAAGATATTCAACTATTACATCTCAAATTACATTGTCATTGAGACGATGGTGATTGGCTTAGATAGTAAATAAAATAAGGTGCATGACAAAACATTGTTAGGTATTCGGTATAACAATCAATGACGCTAATAAATCGATAATGAAATATATACACAAGAAAAAATACATCGAGAACGCTAACAGCCAGGTCAAACAGCACACGATGCACGTTTCTGACGACTAGGCGCGCATCTTACAGTATGATGAGAACAAGGTTTACACACCTGTAAAGTGATAGAGGTAAAGGAAAACACATATATTAAATACAGACGAATTTCATCGAGATGCCAAAAATCAAGGTGAAAGTGAGATTGAAGAGCAAATATTTATAAACGAGCTAAAAACAAGGGAATAGGTGGCAGTCAAATGTCAATTCACCTGTCAAGTAAACGGTTTCTTCGTTAGAAGCAAAGAGCAATGAAATAAATACTAATGTTTGCGAGTGCATTTATCGCATTTCATGACCCTACCCAACCAACCCCAAACCTAAATCGACATCTACTTATTTCATGTCCACCCATGATGCTATCGATCCGTCAGCATAGACAGGCTGTGCCCCTAACATCGGACTCTAATGGGCTGAGTCCACCTGCTCAGGCGACGGAGGGAAAAGTGGACTGGTACGGCAGAACGGGGATTGTTCAATAAGCGTTAACTGCTGCCGCATCGGGAACAGGCCAGAGTACAAACCAACGCTGCAGGCACTCGGCCTTGACGACCGAATGTCATAGGCTATGATTGAGAACAGCACCCATGTTCCTTACAAGTCAAAATGAAAAGAAATGCGTCAGTCATGGCAATTACAAAGGTACCTACGAGGAACCCGTTTCAGTCGCTGATAATATGCTCTCAGTTGATGGAAAATACCCGGGGAATACAGGGCGGGAATCCCCGGCAAAAATAATGAGATGTGCATCCTGGTCCACTATTCAGCATTCATTAAAGGCATATAATTGAAACGGGAATACCCTCAACTACGCCGAATCCTATAAGGCCTTTGAGGCCGGAAACAGCATCGCTGACGTCACCATTCAGAATATAATCATTGAGATCAGAGAGATCTTATGTGAACGCCACACCCTGCCTGACTGCCATCAGCCAGACCTTCGACCTGTAGCCGGGAGTTGATCGGACCCCACAGCGTGATCTCGTTACCACACACACATCCCGTGCGGGCGAGCAGGTGTCATTCAAACCAGCCATCGATCAGAGCGACAATGAGCGAGTCGAAAACGGCGCAACGATCGATATCACCAGCTGGAGGTGCCGTCAGTTCAATCTCACGCGTCAACGCCCCGCTCCTGCGCCGCCAGTTACAGCCGCCCACGGGCGAGACGGGGTGGGGTGGACATCGTGTGGCCATTCATAAAGCCGAGTGGGGCGACACCTAAGCACCACATAAGATTGTTTCAAGGTGAGGTTTGGATACGAAGCTGAAAGGATTATATGTGGTCATGACTTCAGTGCTACTACAAAGAGTGAAAAACACATAAAACTGGACATGTTAACAGCCATGTTGAACCACGACATCTAAGCAGAAAGCGGAGCGGCCCAAAGCTCCGATTCATCTCTGAGCTCTGAGCGGCTGCGCGACCGACGGCGGCAGGACGACAGGGTGGGAAAATCACCAAATTTTCCGGCGCAGTCCAGTGCTGCCGACCCCATCGTGTCTCACCTTGTCTCCTCATCCGCGGCCGATTCCGTCACTGGAAGTGTCACCTGGGCGCGGGACCGAGCCCGCGATCGGAGCCGGGCGCGGCCGGCATAACCAAGATGGCGGGCGGACGAGCGGGCGGGAGGCGCGCCTCTGCGTGCCAGCCGGGGGCTGCTCCGACGGCCGGCTAGGCGCACATTGCACTGCGGCACCACGGCAGCCGGCGCTCACACCTCGGAGCGCGTCACCTCACACTGGCGGCGCGTCACTGAGCCGGTCAGCGGCGGGCGGACGGGCGGGCGCGGCCGGACGGCCTCAGACGCGATGGCGGCCGCTCATGTCGGCCCCGTCGGCTGGCAGCAGCCGGCGGCCGCTCGCTCCCCTCCGGCTCGGTCCGCGTCGCTCGCCGGTATTGATCGCGCCGCTGCCGCCGCCGCGCCGCGCCAGGCGCCACGAGCCCATCGACCGGCCGGCGGCGACCGAGACGGAGCGGCGCGCGCACCGGCACCACACGTGGAGCGGCGCCACCGCCGGCACCGGGCCACCTGCCGACGGTGGTCGGTCCTCCACCGGCGCACTACTCCCGGTAGTAGGGTGGGACAGGACCACTGCCTCAGCGGAGACCTCACCGGCCACCTGACGAGCTCAGCCGACCGAACCCTTCCAGCCGTTCGAGAGAGAATGCACCCCGTCAGGCGACAGAGCGGGTCTGCGGATGGAATCTTACCGACGTCGGTACGTCTGCGACCACCTGGATACGAGCCGCAGCGACAGCTGACGGTCAGGGACGAGCCTCCAGACGGGTCAGTGGGGCAGGACTGCCACAGGACGGCCCGGCGGCCAGACAGCGCACCTGCCAGCAGTTCCGTCCCCTGTCGGCCGCACCTGCCTCAACCGCTCCAACAGTCAAACCGTCTGTGCAGTCCCCAATCGGGCGCACCTGCCCCAGCCGCTCAATAGTCAAACTGTTCGGCAGGGGCACGGCAATGAAGGGGAGAGCGGAACCCTCACTGCGCCACGGTCAGGGAAACCGAGACAGAAAGCAAATGAAGAGAATCGGAGACAGGGAGGTGACATAACCCCAGGAAAGGGGTCAAGGAAAGGATCCATAGCAAATGTGCCCTCGTCAAACAGCCGAGGACTAGTCACCAGATAAATTATACTGGAGCAGCTAGATGTCAAACGCTGTCGTGTTGACATATGTACAAGTGTGGATAAAAACGGGCACAGAACAGGTCAGCGGATTACTGCTATAGTAACCAAACCAGCACTACACCACAGTCCCACACACATTTGCGATCTAAAAATGTTCAAAAGTTGGATCAGCAGCGACAACGACCTGTACGCGTCACATTAATGTTGACGGGCTAAACATAGACAAAGTCCAACATTCGCTTGAGCCGCGTCACGCCATGCAAGTAGAGCACGCACGGCAACCGAGTCGTATTAAATGACACCCCAGTGCCGTAAGCCAAGCATTCATTATGAAATGAGTTTTGCTGCCGCAATATGTATACCGTCCACGCTAGTAAAAGCAATCCCTGAGGCATTTTTAGAACTTTGGGTATATTCAACACCGAGGCTGCTTTAAATTTTGAGTCCTAATGGAACTCATGCTTTCAAGTAAAGCTCAAATTATCGCCGCTTTCCAGCTAAATTAATAAAGGAAGAAAAGGCTTACGGAGGCGTAAGAGAAAAGCAGGCAATGATAGACTGCCACAATGTCACAACCTAACCCAACACCAGTTTGGTGCTACCACGGCGCAATTAGCATGAAGGAGGATCCAAAGACAGCAAAGGGAAGGTATGCCACGAAATGCCTCTGTCATCTTCTGGAGATCGACTCAAACCCCGCAACCGAACGCACATGCACGAAGGGCTGACACGCCATCCCATCCCATCCCACTTCCGTTGTGTTTCGGAGGCAATACTAATGCCGACACGTGCGGACCGGGCCGCGGACCGGTCCGACGTCCTCTCCCGGGCGGCACCCCTGATGACGGCCGCGCAGTGCCATCATCGGCGGCGACGGCTCGGTGGGCGGCGGAGCGTCGTCAGCCGGCGGCGGAGCGTCGTCAGCCGGCCGGCGCGCCGGGGGGCGGCGGCACAATATCCCGGCGCACGCCGCCCGCCGCGGCGACAGTCGCCGCCGCACCACTAACGACGAGTGCTAACTGATTTTTTATTGACGCGCCTGAGACGGCGGCAGGCGCGGCGGCCGGCCGGCGGCGCGCGAGCACGACCGGCGACGAGCAGCGGACGGCGGCGGCGATAGTGGCGCCGGCTAACGATCGCGGCGCACGCTTCATTAATGCACCGCGGGGCTGGCGGCGGCCGGGCCGGCTGATCGACGCACCAGATTACCATCGATCTTGGGCGGCCGGCCGGCCGGCGGCCCACACCGGGGCACCGGGCCAGATGAGAGGCTCGGCCGGGCCAGTCGGCCGGCCGCCGCGCCGCCCTCAGATGGCTGCTAATTGATGGGTTCCGGCTAGCCGGACGGTCAGCACCAGGGCTGCGGAGAGGAGCCCTCGCGTGGGTCACTCCCGACCACAGTCTGACGCCGCAGACGTCCAGACAGACACTACCTTCGGACGAGCACTCATCTACCTGATGAGACGCCCGAATCCCATCATCGCCAACTACAGCTTCCGCCAGTCAAGACATGTCACGGTCTCCGTGAGTCAGACCAGATGGTCATGATCGTGTAGATGATGTTGGCGGTGTTTGGTCATCCAGTTTGCATTGGTCATCGACATCAAATGATCCTTATGAAGAGCCAGAAATCATGTCCACTCTTCGCATCGTCATGGACGAAAACTCCCTCTACCATCCCAAAAGGCTTTCCCAGCGGTTGTTCCCCTCTAATCTGTCTCTTCGGCCGCCTCCCTCTCCGGCCGCCTTCCTCCCGGCACCCCTCGATGCCGGGTCAGCGGAGAGGCGGCGCAGCATCCCCGGCCGGCCTCTCTGGCGTTGGCCGGCCGTTCGCCATCGGCCGGCGGGCTGGCCATTAGCACGGCGCGGCGGCGGAAGTCGGGAGACAGCGCCGGACGCCGGTAGCGAGATGGAGTGGCTCCGCACTGGCAGCCGGCCGACGCCGCGCCACAGCCCACGCCCCACCGATACAATGCGCGCCCTAAGTAAGGCGGCCGATGCGCCCGGCGGCCGGCGCCGCGCACAATGACCACCGCGCGCCGCTCCCCTTCCTGGCCAGCTCGGCTAATGGCAGCGGCCGGCGCAGAAAGACGAGAGCGCCGCTCGGCCGGCCAGAGGCGCGCCGTGGGAACGCCGCGGGATGACGATCCCTTTCTGGCCGCGCCCGATGGGAAACCGGCCAGCACAGATCCGCCCGCCGAGGACTAGTCCGTTCGCTGTGTTGGATAAAGACTATGGCGGAGGAACGTGTTCCGAATGTGTGGTTTGAGGGTTTTGCAGACAATATCACGGATAGCACTGAAATATAGGTCTTCAAATATGCAGCACACAGTTGGTCAAAGCCTTCAGACTTTTGCTGCTGGAGCCGTACGACACCCTTTGATGGACGTAAAATATCAGAGAGAAAAAATACATCTATGGCAAACGAGGTTTAACGACATATGATCGATTGGTTCCCTGCTTGAGTATCTCACGATGGTTTTTGGCCTAACATTAATGTAATGTGTAACTGAAAAAGTAACCTTAAAAAATTGCAAACAAATACGAATAATTACTTGAACTATGCTTCAACCAATTCTAACATCAGCCACCCAAGCATAGGTAGTGGGTAAATAATGTTAAACTGTGAACAATCAACAATCAACGAATAAATTCACAAGGCACCTATCCCTACAAGGCAAGAATAAACAAATCATACATTCAGCGGCAGCATCAAAGTCTTTGAGTATATAATTATCTACACTGACACATATTTACATTAGTACGGATAAACTCGATCAACTGCCAAGGCCGTAACGGCGATTAATGTTCCTTTATCAGAGAAACAGACACAGTATTCGACGATAAGACGAGCGGCGAGAAGTGAGACCCGAGATACCACACTATTGAGTCTGAAAACAACAGCTACGTCAAATATGACGAGAAGACAAGGCGAGTCGAGTCCGGTCGCATGAGTAAAGTAACGTGTCTAGATTTCTTATTGTAGTGGCATCATTACATGTAGCTAATGTTCAAGTGAATATGCAACATAAGATCTCGCATGCATAAGTTATGAAACGCCATACAGATAATGAAAATAAGATGACAGAGCTAGCACATGCACTGAACTGGCATCAAGGATCAGATAAAAAAGTTTAATCCTAAAAAAGGGTTAAACAAAGTCCGAGTCCCCGGGAAAAAATAGTTGCACCACACTTGATCAATTAAACATTGAATTACTATGCAATATACATCATGCACAGCGCATGAAAAACATGCGAGCTCATAAAGTAAAAGGGCAAACTCATCTCAAGACATTTAGCACATTTCTTTTAGATTTGGATATCAGGAAAGAGGATATTTTAATACTAATTTGTCTCCACTGAGTTATGTGCTGGCTGCATTTTCCATTTAAGCCGTTATCTTATTTGCAGTCATACCCACCTTCATGGTAATGAGCGAGGGAAGAAGCATTCCACTTCACTTTCAATTGCAATGCACTGTTATGGATTATTATGTGTGGCGAGTAAATATAGGGTATTGAACAAAACGGTATATAATAGACACTTTCACTTTCACTGGTGGTCACTGATATGCATTTAACCCGGCAGTTGCTGGGGTATTTCGCCACCCACCGTTTGCTGGGGGGGGGGGGGCGTTAAACGCCCCCAGCCGATAACTCGAGAACCAATAGGCGCAGCGAAACGCACGAGGCGGCAAACGAAAGAGCGCGCCGAGACGCTTCAGATGAGTACTTAAAAGTTGAATTTTGAGGTCACAGGTCAGGTCAAGGTCAGGTCAAACACCGGAAATCGGGCTTTCAGTAGCATGGACTTCAGGACTTCGCAATGGGCGCCTCTCGTCATAAACTCTGTCAAAACGGTGCACAATCCATCATATAAGGCTTACAAGAGTGTCAGCTCCATGTAGGGGTCAGTCAAGCATAGGTCAGGGTCAAGGTCAGGTCAACCGGGTAGGCACATATCCCCGAAAATCAGAACTGATATTCGCACCCTGTGACACATGTTCTATAGGTAATTTGGAGCGTAGAACACGATGGTGACATTATTTTTCTCATATGTTTACGAGTTTGGCTCAAAAAGTTCAATTTAAGAAATTCATGTACCTATCATGGTCGTGAAGTAGTCACGAGAAATTGCCAAGATTCAGTTCAAGATTTTGGAAAATGCGGAACAATAATCAATAATCGAA